ACCTTGCTATTATCTTTACCTGAAAAATATAAAAAAGTGAAACATGCCCTTGAATATGGGAGAACCTCTGTCACCGTTGATGACATTGTTACTTCTTTACGGAATAAAGAACTTGAACTAAAGAGTGATTCAAGAACCTCCACAACTAGAGTAGGTTATAATATAAAAGGTACTATTTTTTTCAAAAAGAACAATAATCAAATCATGAATAAAAATTTTGGAAACCAAAAGAATATTCTAGTACCTCTCAAAAGGGTAAACCCACATTTAATAAAAACAATAGTAAGGCTAAAGGTAGGAAATGTTACTTTTTTGGTAAATTGGGTCACTACATCAAAGATTGTATAAAAAGAATTAATGAACTGAAAAATGCAAATAAGGTTGAAAGTCGTGCTGCTATAGCCTATGAAGAAACTGCAGCCTCAAATGGATAAGTCTATGTGACCTGTCAACCCACAGTCAAAGATGACCGGATACTAGATTTTGGGTGTACTTTCCATATGTCACCCTACAAGGAGTACTTCACTAGAACTCTTTGACAAAAATGGAGGACAAGTAATAAGGAAAAATGAGTTTTCATGCAAAATTAAAAGAATTGGAAAGATTGTTTTAACGCTAGACAATGAGAATGTACTAATCTTAAATACATTCCAAACTTAAAGAGAAACTTAATCTCTTTACGTTCACTTGATGATGAAGGTTTTAATATAATCATAAAAGAGGTGTTTTTGACACTCCAAAATAATTTTGCAAATGTCATCCAAGTAGAAAAATCAAATGGGATGTATGTCACGAAAGCTATACTACATAAGAATCAATTTATTGCCGCTACAGTCTCTTTGTCTGATAAATTTGAAACATGGCATAAAAGGTTAGGACACAAAGTAATAAAAACTTGCATGTACTTAAGAAATAAGGTCTTTTAGGAAATGATAAAATTGAAAATGTGTCCTTTTGTGAACAAGTATTGGAAGCAGAAAAAACTACATTTTGCTGCTGGTACCCATAAATCCAAGCTCATGTTTGAGCCACATTCTAGGAAAAAATGCATTATTCATGTCAAATCAATGAGAAATGTGTGGTTAAAAAATAAGAAAAAGTTCTAGATTTACGTGTAATATTATTTTATTGAAGAATATGTGATTGAAATGATGTTAAATCACTGTTGAAAAATGTATTTTTTTAAAAATAATGTGGCTCAACTTTGGGGACCAGCTTTTTTGAGTACTTACTCTGGCTTTAAATATTATCTCTTGATTGTTGATGATTTTTCAAGAAAAAATTAGGTCATACTCTTGAAAAACAAATATGATACCTTTCAAAACTTTGTTTCTTGGAAAACTCTTGTTGAAAATCAAGTTAACAAGAATGTTAAAACCCTTAGAACTGATAATGGCCTTGAGTTTTGCAATAAAGACTTTGATAAATTTTGTAAAAGTAATGGGATCCTTAGGCATAGGACTGTTACTTACACGCCACAACAGAATATGTTAGCAGAAAGAATGAATAGGACCTAGCTAGAACAAGTTAGGTCCATGTTGATAAACTTAGGTCTTCCAAAGTTATTTTGAGGAGAAGCAATTAAAGCTGCCTCATATTTGATAAATAAATGTCCCACCAAATCTTTGAATTATTACACTCCAGATCATATTTGGAATGTTCATTCCATTGATTATTCCAAACTTACAAGTTTTGGCTGTGCTGCTTATGTACACCAAAATGAAGAGAAACTTGAGCCAAGATCTATAAAAGGTGTTTTCTTAGGATATGGGGAAGGTATAAAAGGATAAAGAATCTAGTTGAGGGGTCATGGAGGATATAGAGTTGTAATAAGCAGAAATGTAGTCTTTAATGAGTTAGATATGCTGTAATAAGCAGACATGTAGTCTTTAATGAGTTAGATTTGCACTGTATTAAAGTTGCTGACACAAAAAAGATCAAAACTAATATTTTATGCAAACTGAACTTTTTCTAGCTGACTTAATGATTAGAAATGAGGATCAAATTGAGGTAGAGATTGGATTAGAGCAGGGCATAGAACCTGAACCTGAACTTGAACAGTCTGCAGATCCTTTAGAAGACTATCAATTGGCTAGGAATAGAATAAGAAGAGAAATAAGGTCCCCCTTGAGATATAGTGAACCTGACTTTGTTATTGTATTAAATGTTCAAAATCTATTGAAAGATGAGCTTGCAACCTATAAAGAAGCTATTAAGAGCAAAGACTCAAATTCCTGACTAGCAGCCATGGAAGAAGAGATACAGTCCTTAATGAAAAATAAAACTTGGGTCCTGGTAAATAGACCAAAAGGTGAAAAAATTATTGACTACAAATGAATTTATAAAATAAAGAAAGGTGATTATAAAACTAGAAATGTAAAATTTAAGGCCAGATTCGTTGCTAAAGGCTTTAACCAAAGGGAATGAATTGACTACAATGAAATATTTTTTCCAGTAGTCAAGTATACTTCCATTAGAATTTCACTTTCTCTTGTTTCACAATTTGATTTTGAACTAGAACAATTGGACATGAAAACTGCCTTCTCATGGAAATTTAGATTTAAAAAACTTTACATGACTCAACTAAAAGGTTTTGAACAAAGATGAAAGGAAAACTGTCTGTCTTCTACGAAAATCTCTTTATGGTTTAAAACAAGCACCTCAATGATATATTAGATTTGAAACTTTCATTAAAGGACTTGATTTTAATAGAAGTGAATATGATCCATGTTTTTATTATAAAAGAATTGGAGGCCCAAATTCTTGTTATATATTGCTTTATGTGGATGATATGTTACTTGTTGGGTGTGATGTAATTGAAATAATTAACATTAAGGAAAGGCTAAAACAAGAATTTGAGATGAAGGATTTAGGACCAGCCAAAAGAATTTGGGAATGGAGATTAAAAGGGATAGATCTAATCGTACCTTGTTTCTCACACAACAGTCATATATAATAGATTTTCTATGAATGAAGCTAAGGATGTCACATTACCTCAGGCTGTTACTTTACATTCTCTGTTGAACAATGCCCTAAAACTGAAATAGAAAGAAGTGTGATGGATAAAGTTCTTTATGTAAGTGCTATTGGCTCTGTTATGTATGTTATGGTCTGTCCAAGACCTGATCTTGCTTTTGCTATAAGTGTCTTGAGTAGATACATGAGTAATTCTAGTGAGTATCATTGGGAAGCAATGAAATGGCTATTAAGATACTAGAAATGAACTTCAAATTTAGGGCTGATGTTCAATAATAGTAAAACTGGAATTCAACTTAAAGGTTTTGTTGATTCAGATTTTGCTGGAAATTGTGACAATAGAAAATCTAGTTCTGCATATGTGATTACATTAAATAATACCTGCATAAGTTGAAAATCTCAACTGCAAAAAATAGTTGCTTTATCTTCAGCAGAGGCTGGGTATATTTTAGCCACAGATGCAGTAAAGGAAGGTATTTGGTTAAAAAACTTATTAGATGAAATTGGCTTTACTAGTAATAATGATATAGTGTATTCTGATAGCCAATCTCCTATACGTCTTACCAGAAATCATGTTTTTCATGATAGGACTAAACACATAGATGTTAAATATCATTTTATAAGAGATATTATAGAAAAAGAGATAATAAAGATTGAAAAGGTCTCAACCAAATGTAACCCTGCAGATATGGGAACAAAAGTTATTCCTATACACAAATTTAGGGATTGTTTAAATCTCCTAAATGTTGTTACTGACTAAGGATATTTCATGCAAGTACATAGGGCGTATGAAACCATAAAGAGGAGTTAACCTCTAATCCGCGTGAAATCCAAAGATGTTAAACAAGGTGGAGTTTGTTAAAAATGTGCTTAACATCTTAAATCTGAAGCCCAGTGATGTAGCCCAAATTAATTACACGGATTGGCCCATATGTTGGAATGTGACCCGGTTTGGTACCTTGTGCTCAATCTCGCATTTATTTAAAACCCGACTTCATTGGACTGCTGAGATGAGGCCACATGTTGTTGGGTAAACCGTTGGATGTATTATGACCTTTTATATTCCATCTTTCTCACTTGGGTGTTCAAGATTATTCTAAGGTTACATTCTCTCTTTCATCTCTGTGATTTTCTCTTTGAAAAACCTTGGTTTTTGTTCGTAATCTTGAGTCTTCTGATATTCTTTGTGATGTCTAGTGTAGATTACGTTATGGTTAGAGTTTTATTGTTCTTTGGCAAACTGTAACTCTTGGTTGTTTGGTGTAATCTGTAAACGAGATAAAAGAGTGAGAGTTGAGACTGAAGGCTTAGAGTCGAGTGATTTTTGAGTTTTTGATTCTTGTATTTTGACACACTTTGTTGGATTTTAGTGGATTAGCGAGATAACCACTTAGGTGGATGCTTAACGTGGTCAGTAACCCATTCCTGATTGAACATTTGGGCCTACGGGCGAAAAATCATTGTGTTCTTTGTGTTTGATTTCTTTGATTTAATTTTGGGATTGTAAAATACCATCAAATTTTTTCTTATTTCAGCGAAAGATGTGTCCTGTAGCTTTGTCCCTCGTTGAATTATAAAAACTTGAGTTTTGGTGTGATTTTCAACTTTCATTTATTGTATTCAAATCAACGACTTTCATTGTTCTTGTTGTATTCTTCACTTTCATCACTTCCATCAATTGACTATGGTTCATGCAGAAAATTAAATAATATGCAAAAAAAATGAGCCATGAACTGATCCTCCAGCTTCTAGAACTTCAAATTTTGAAACATCAACTAAGGAGATATTTTCAAACTAATTATAGTTTATTAATAATACCACAATATTAACCACTCAAAAACGTCCCAAAGCAACATTTATTCATTACCAAGTAGTACAGTAATTATTCAACCAAGACAAACTGTGAAAATACACACACACGCACAGAGTTATCTATCCATCTGATGCAAACAGAGAAACTATCCAGATCAGGGTGTCTTAAGATGGTGAGATTCTATATCTTTTGCAAGTTTAATTCAAAATCCCTACAGAGTGAGTGGATCTTTGACGTCGTCATTTAATTTCTCGTACTCAAGAGTCCATGTTGTCAAATCAATGTCACCATCAATTTCAACAGGGAAATTGATTTTGAAGGCCTTCAATACCTTCTTGAGATCTCCTTCAATCAACTTGAATGTCACTGACCTCTTTTCCTCGTCTATGGGTTCAATTACCTCTTTTGCTACTTCCGGTTTCCCATCTACAATTATTCCAATTTTTGTAAATTTAATACAAAAGAAAGTCTTGAATCTACAGTTTTGGAATCTTGATTGCACATATGATGTAACTTAACATGTGACACTTGTTGATTTGTCTTTGAAAACATTTATTCTATTATTTTCACCACATAAGTGCTTTGCTAAACAAATATTATTTAGGAAATAATTTGTTCAAATTGAGACAAATACCAGCCTACAGTGTCTTTCACAACATGATCTAGATATGAGTTTTACTTTTAATGTTCAATACATTATTGGGATAAAAAAAATAAATCCTAAATTTAAGTTTCATGGCACTAAAAATGACCTAGATGTCAACCTTTGATAAGAAAAAAAATTGGTAAACTCGATGGAGCGTGTTGAAAAGATATACAAGTAAATTTGTCCTATATATCACAATATTTATTCTTATAATAGAAAAAAGAGGGTTGAGTGACTCCTTTTTCTTTTCTTTTTGGAGCTATATGTGGGATAATTAGAATATTTCTACTTGAACAGGGTTGTTACAGGATGCCTATTTGGAGCCCCTCGACGCGGCTCTTTGGGGCCTTGGCACCGTCTCTATCACAGTAGCAAGCCCAGATAATTATTATGATTTAACACTGTATGCTTACCATAAGTGTACTTCCAGGTGTAGATAGTGCCTACAGTTTCCCCATTCTCCTTGATGCAAATCGCATCCTTGAATAGTAGTAGGGCTGATTTTGCGTATTTGGTGTGGTGTGTACCGAAAAAGATCATGAAATACATCTCCTCCAGACCTCATTTCTATTTGGGCAGTGAGTTTACCCTTGCGACCCATTTTTTCTTTTGTGAAAAGCTTAATGAAAGTTTTGTGAAGAACAAGTTCAAGTACTGTGTGAAGAGCATTCAGAACTCTCTAATCTATTTATAGCCGTGTTGTGAAGATGTAGATCCGTGCCCATTACCATTGTTCAATTATTATCTCTAACTATGATTTTTACAATTTATAATGGTCAATCATTATGTGTTATCAATGAAAAATAAAATAAGTTTCACTAAATAAGAAAAAGCACTGTTTAATATCATGTCAAGATTAATACGAGGATCAACATTAATGCAATCCTTTATAATATAGATACAACTTTTTGAGCATATTAAATGAAATTTCATATCTAAGCTCAACTACTCGACTACAGTATATTGACTTCTTTTATGGTTGGAGGCCAGCACTGTGTCATAGGAACTCTTCACGAATTTCTAGTTATTGAGAAGATACTTAGTCCGTCATTAAGTATCGGAAGAAATTTATAATCCCTTGTGGACTTTGATAACGATTTGAAAGCGAAAGTAAATGGCAACTAGAATTAATATTTTGTGTTGCTTAAATCTAGAATTTCAAAAGAAAGTATAGTAAAAATAAAATTTTAAACATAATTTGTGAAAGTACTGTAATAAATAAAACAACAATCGTAAATACAAACTAACAATTAGATGTGATGCAAGGTGAATATCAAATGATCCATGTTGTGCACTCTTAAATAAACTCTTTTTTATGAAAGTGATATTATTCTAGTTAAATGAGTGAAATAAAAAAGAATAGCTTAAAATTAATATATGTCCTTGTTTGAGTTCCATTTTGGGGGAAAGAATGCATCTTAAATAATAGATTGATAGAAAATGTGCGGTTAGAAATTAATAAAAAATTCTGAGATTGTATTTAATATTATTTTATTAAAGAATATACGTTAAAAATGAAATTTTAGAAGAACGGAGCTCAAACAAGGGCATAACTCTTGTGGGAAGGAAGGAACAATCTAAGTTTATTTTTTGACTAGTCACTAGATACCATGTGGTGCCCCTGTAATTACAGTGTGGTCCATGATTAAAAGTAGGTTACAATATTTCAATCAATAGATAGTTTCGTATACCCCATCTCACATATCCTCCTAATTATTATGCCGTTAAAGAATTCAGTGTGATAAAGTTTGTGTGGAGGAATAGGCACTTGCAGTTATGGAACGATTTGATGGTCGGCGTTCGAAGAAATTGGCGTAACTTTTATATACGATGTTCTTTTTGAGCCCATAACCCCTTCCGGAAAGCTCGGATGATTCTGGATAAATGCACTGCTTCGTTGTGATGTATGATGGATTTTGGCCGTTTAAATTCGTTTACTAGGTCAAAATGGCATTTAAAGTTTCTTAGTTTATTATTTTCAATATTTGTTATTCTCGTTTTGTAGCCCAGCCCATTAAGGGACTGTTGGCCCTATAGGTTATCTGTTCTTTTCGTATTTAAGAATCTAAAACGTCTCCTAGGTTTTTTGGTTATTCATGAAATAAGAAAATGTTTGTTTCTTAAGTTCAATCCGTTTGAGTTGTTAGTATTGTGTGCTTGTAGATTCAATCTACATCATAGTGAATGTCATTTAGGTCTTAATATCAAATAGTAGGAAAAGTCTAAACTACACTCAACTATCTGCATTACTTTCTATTAATCAAAATAGTTATTTAGAAAGGAGATTACGATGTATCTGCTGAAATTTCATACATACGGTAGCTCAAATATCGTCAACCAATTACTATATGTCTCCAAATAATTCACGTGAATGTAATTTAGTTCTTAATAGCTATTAACAAGAAAAGTTTACCTTGTGGAAATTGGAAATGTTGTTGGATCATCATAACAATCAAACAATCATGCTACACATCCAGGTTCAAATCCAGATTGGACATGTGTCGACTCATGATTAAACAATTCGAAAAATTAAAACAAAAGCACCCAATTATTTTTCTGACACATTATTTTGTCTCTTCACTTCTCTATTTTTAAGCCTGGCTAAATGGTTTTATTCATAATCAAATTAATTAATATATGTAATCTGCAATTTAAGAAGAAGGATTGAGGAGAAATTTTTGAGAGACAATAATGCCCTCATTGATTTTGTATAATCCCCCTTCATCCTTCAATTATTATTATAATTTAAATAACTTTATAACATATACTATTCAATATTATTGAATTTACAATCATTACTTTCATTTCCCTTTCCTTTAGAAAATTGATCTTTTTCAAAGCACAATAAGTTGATATGTGTTTCATCTTCCATAATTTATTCAAAGCATATCCAGAAGATTAAATAAAAGCAACAGTTTTATTTCTTTTTAGCTCTATTTCTGCATAATTTCTACAAAATAGAAATCAACCCTTAATTTTCTTATTTTTATCTTTTTACTTTTCAGCAAATAGACTATATGGAGTCTAACAATGCTCGAACATCAATATTTTATGTTTGTAGAGTTTTGATGGTTGACAATTCTTTCGACGAAGGTGTCATTTTGTCCAAGTTTATTCGATTCTAAATGTAGATTTTTAACTTTTTCATATATGTTTAAACAACTTTCTTGGCTCCAATAAAAGATAGTAGGGGTAAAAACATAGTCAATATTTGCATTTTTTGCCTGCGCTTGATACAGATTAAAATTAAATTTTTAGTAAATTTAGATAAACATTGGTAAAATATATGGTCAAAAAATTGTGGAACTCATGAAATATGTTGTTAATATTGATTGTTTTATTTTGATTTAGATTAAATTTGATTTCAATCAATATCAAACAAAAGCTTAATAAAATCAAAATACCTTCACCTAATAAGTACCCACTTATTGAAACATTTAGTTTTCACTTTGCCTTACTTTTCTTGGTCATTCGTCAACAATGCCCTTAGTCAATCTTTTTAATCTATCTTTCTTGAATAATGGAACTTTGTCAAATATTAGGTGACACATAAAGTGACATTATATGGCATGATCATGAAATAGAAGATGCATTGCAAGTTTGACCAAGTCTTGGACACTAAAATTTGGAAATGTAGATAACTAGTGGGTTTCACTTACCTAGTGGAAGCTTGAAAGGTTGTGACACTCGAAATCATGAAAAATCCCCACATATCTAGATAGTTGCTTTTATTGGTTCGATCTAACCAAGCTTTAGTGAGAAGCATTGAGTAGTTTGTGAGCAACCTTAAAAATACATATTGGGAGAGATTAAATATAAAGTTTGAGAATAAGCATCTCATGAGTAGCAAAAGATAATATTGACCATTAATGGTTGTGATGAAACAAACTTGAAAAAACCTTTTCATTTAGCAATAATTTATTTTGTTAGAAGAGTTTATTCTACCACAGCATAAACTATAAGTGGCAATACACGTTGAACGTTAAGATTAGCCCTAATAAGTGCATTTTGTGAACTTATTAACATTACTAAATTTGTATGTTGTCAAATTAGTGATTTTATACATAATTTGAGTTAATTTCGTTTGTTTCAGTGACGAACTTATTTGAAGTAATTGGAAAGGAAGAATGATGAAATTGAATGAAATCGGCAATTTTGGGGGGATCAAAGTCTGCACAATTGATGAGTTCAAGGACTACATTGCATTAACTTGAAAGATTGGATGACTTGAAGAAGATAAGAAATTAATTGGACCTCAATTGGACTTTTAAGTGGAATCAAATTAAATTAGTAATTGAACTTTTCGTTGGGCTAAAACTTTGGGCTGTCGAATTGATATATATACGCACATTAAGGAGGGCAGCTTTGGGGAGACTAACCTAGAGAAGAATTGGAAATATACAACATTGGGCGGTGATGTGGGGAGAGAAAGGAAGAGAATTTGCGGCTGCAACATTATATACTTACACACACATTGGAGGCAGCCAAGATTATCTGTACGTACATGCCTACAGAGACAAGAGGAGAAGAATTGGGCTACTGCTGCTGAATTATATCATATATATAGAAACAGAAATTGAGGCAGCTGGGAGTGGTAAAATATTGCGGCTTCAAGTGGCTGAATTATATATATATATATACACACACACACACGCACATAGAGAACCGAAGCAGTAGGGGAGAAGAAGAAAAGACACGCATACAGAGACTAGAAATTGCAAGAAAAAGAAAGCAGATTTACGTTGGAAAAATTAATCACGTTCCATCAAGTTTTGGTGATATTTTTTAACTTTTGCGTGTTTAATTCTGACATCATGCATGACTAATTTCTTTATATTGCTAGAATGTGACAAACCCTCGTTATGAAATTTTTGAATAATTAGATTGACGTTAAATTTGTTTGAATGTTTGGATGTTTATTATCGTTTTTCATGCTTTTCAATTATTTGGCCACTAGTTGAACTATGTGGATTTTGTTATTATCGAGAGAGATAATAAGATCATTAGTACATAGTAATAAATATTGTGAGGTTCGATATAGGATAGAGATACACCTCTATGCTTCACATGGTTTTTAAAAAATTCTAGCTCATTTAATGCATTTATCATGCTCACATTTTTAACGAAAGATAAGAAGGTTACTTGAGGGGAATAAAATTGATAACTATCGAGAAATGTTTTCAATTAAAATAAAAACATTGACTAACAAGTATGATTTCAAATTGTCGAACTAAAAATGGATTAATAAGGGGAGTTATACATCTTAGCAATATTTCTCAAGAAATTGATAAATTTTCTTTACATTGCTTTTAAGTCAGTTGATAGATTTAATAGTGTTTAGTTAGAACTCGATTTTGCTATTCGATTAAGGGTATTAATAGCTATAACTCGATCAAACATATAGCCCTCGTGGGTTTGACACTTAATTCATCATTATATTACTTGCTCACGATCTAGTCCACTTGTAGAAAATCAAACAATCAAGCCCCAGTTTGGTTTAGCTAAAAAATAATTATTTAGTAGATTTTAATAAAAGGTTAATAAAATGTATAGTTGAAAAGTTGGTAAAAATTGTGAATTTCATGAATTATGAGGTTTAAATTAATTGTTTATTTTGGCTTAAATTTTTATCAACTTACTTAATTGAACCAAGCATGGGCTAAATGGCCCAAATCAAGATGAAACATCACTGCCATCTAAAAAAACAAGTAACATGCATCATTTCTCATGTACTGATGTAGGGTATTGTAATTATTTCGTCCAAACACTATAGTCGATGATTCAAATGCAATTCATCCTATATGACCTGAAATCAAACTTCAAAATCCACTCTAAACTCAGTTGTAAGGCCTGCTCTCACTTCAAGCATGCACAACATTATCCATCTCCTCCAAAGGAATGCTACAACATCAACTTGAACACAAAACATCTGGTTCTATATTACCAAGCTAATGTAGGGATTGTCACTACTTTATTAAAAAATTGTAAGTGATAGCACAAATGCAATCCATCATATATTACTCAAAATCTAGTTTGAGATTAAATCCCAAGTCCAATCCCTAGAGTCACCTCGAATTAACCTAATTTCAAAAATTCTCCTACATATGCACCCCTCACAATACAATTATAAATATATAAGAAAGTTGAGTGAGATCTTCCCCATCTCTCCTATGTCTTTGTAGTGCCTTCTTTATTTGCAAAGAAAAAATGGGCCTTAAAGATAAAAAAAATAGTCGAAATAAAGATGAAGCTGGTGGATATGCATTTCATGATCTGTTTAGGTACAGACCACAACATATACCCAATATGAGCTCTACCACCATTTAAGGTTTCGATTTGCATGAAGGAGAGTGGGGAACTCTAGGCTCCGTCTACTTCTGGAAGTATACTCATGGTATGCCTACTTTATTTAGCATACAATATAAGACTACACTCGACATGGCCGAGTACTATCAAATTCATCCATTTGAACATCGGATAACAATATTATCACTTGATCATCTGGCTTTCCTTTTGTATGAAGTTTGTAAAATTTGAAATAATTGTAGATGGGAAGCAGAAAATAGCGAAAGATATACTCGAAACCATAGATGAGGAAAAGAAGAAAGTGACATTTAAGGTAGTGGAGGTGATGTGATGGAGATTTACAAGGCCTTCAAAGCTAGTTTTCATGTTGAAACTCACGGTGACATTGATATGGTGACATGGAATCTTGAATTTGATTAGCCAGACTATGTTGAAGAACCACTCTCATTGTTGGGCTTGTGCATCTAACTCGGAAAAGATGTTCAGGCACACCATCTTTAGGCAGCTTGATATGGATAGGGTTCTATATATGCTTGCATGAGTTATAGACACTCATCTAGCCACCTCCCTTTGTGTGTGTTTTCTTTGTTATTTTATGGATAATAGTGTATTGGTGCAGTTCATGATCGAAAAATGTTGTGTTCCTCCTTCACATAGTATGTCTGGCACTATGGCTTTCTCTTGAATAAATTGAAAATTTTATTTTGTGATAATATCACTCTAGCCTATTGATATTATGGTTTTTAGTCTGTCAGAAATTTGGAATGGAGAAGATGTATCCACACAACACTCTTAAGTGTAAGTCGATTGGATCTGGTTAGTAATGAGTTGAATATGATAATTTTGCATACCATTAAGTAAGAAGACGCAATTTGTTTAGACAAAATTGAACTCCAACTAGATCCACATAAAGAACCTTCAAGATAAATTCTACATTTTTTCAGAAACGAATATTGCCTATATTTGAGTTGCAAAACTATCCAGCAAGATAAACTTTTATTTTTCGATTATTTATTTATTTATTTTTATTTCCAGCAATTCGCAAAAAGAATCAATATTTGTATCATATCAACCTTACTGTGTCATTTGGCACACACATGTTGGGCTAATATCCTATTTCTTATGTATGAAATTATTGGGAATTTATTTAATTATGCATAGCAGAAAATAAAATGAATTTTAGTTCTCACCATGGACTTGCTTTGTGTTTAGAAAGAAACTATAATAGAAAATTATACATTTGATGAATTTCTTGAAGAACAGTTTTGATCTGTAATCTACATATGTCCAATCATCGAGCCTTCAATGAAAATTCACACAGGGAACAAGATTGAAAGAAATAGAGTTTTTATTTTCTTATGCTAGCAAGAATATAAATTGTATTATGTTATAAATTTTCAAACCTTAGCAGCCTATTAATAAAAGTCCAAGCTCTTAAGCTTATCCTGGTCCACTATTTAATGGATCTATTTAATTAAATTTGGTCCATGAATTAATTAATTCAACAAACAACCCAATTAACTAATTGTCATTGGTAAATCTCATTCTTCTAGTCCTCCTTTTGTGTGTGATCGATTAGATTCCCAATCATGATACCTAACGACGTGAATTATTATTTTGATATAACAAAATCGATATATTAAAATACCCCTTTTAAATTTATCACTAATTTACATTCGTCATCCCAAATTGACATCTAGCAATGTATTAGCTAGGGCAAGACATGTAACGAAAAATGTAATGTGGTGTGAAAATCTAAATTTGTTCGTTTACCATGAAACTATAATCAATTTGTCAATATAATCCGATCAATTGCAAAGTAAGTGTATCAATGTTGATTATCTATCATATATTTCATCCTACTATTAAGTCAATAAATATGCTACTTGTACATAATGCGGTATCTATACCTAAGTCCACACCTCTCACATGGAGGTGAACACACTTCGGATAAATTATGTTTTACTCAATGTTGCCCCCTCCATGCGAGGGGGTGGATATCAGTATGAAAATTTTGATGTATTGTAGCATCACCCTTGAATCAATGCAAGTCGAAGATTCTTTTTGATTTATGAGTACATTTTGACCAATGATTTCATTATTGACTTAATCGAATGAAATTTAGATCATAATCTCTTTCTATCTAGGAGTAACGAATCCTCTATTGATCATTTACAATCTTTATATAATTCTTGACATACCCCAAATGATGTCGTATTAGCGACTCTTGATGGAGTAACATCCAACATCACCAAAGTATAAATATTCCCATATAAGGCACCATGATGATCTGAAGTCAAAGGACCAATTCCACTACCAAACATCAGAGATTGACATCTAACACTCAACTAGTTATCCATATGGAATCTCTCTAGCAAGTCTTCGATTTTTTGTTCTATAACAAAATATTCATGTGTTTATTTAAGTGTCAACACACTTAGATTATGAGATCAACTACCCACTTCAAAAGTGAGAAATGCCACACATGATGATATAATCATAATAACGATATTCGTATCTCGTTGTTACTTACGATCACGGATAATTTAAGCTTCATTCATATGTAAATTGTCTATGACAATCACAATTCTTTGTGATTAACAAGTAATTAAGATTTGAATCTTCGGATTCTATTAGTTTAATAGATTCAATTAAATAATAGATCTTGGCACAATATAAAATGCATCAATTACATTAAAAGTGTTTACAACCTAATCGATTGTACCTAGAGCATAACACTAACAAAAATGATAATGAATCTAATTGATATTTGAAGCTTAGAAAGATTTCAAGCATGTAGGAATGGCATATAAAATCTTTCTAAAGCATGGGAAAAGACAAAATTCCTAGTCGTGCTTGGTAGAACGAAAAAGATGAATTTTATTCAATATAGTATTTGAGGCAAATTATAATGGAATTAAATTATCCAATACATTTTACTCCCTTTTCATACCCTTTTTTTTGGATGAATCAATACGAGCTTATCCTTCCTTAGTCACACCAATTAATATGATTCTACCAATGAGATACACTACAAAATAATTTTTCACCGATAACCCTAATCTCCATTGGTAATTGCTATTACTAGCAAAAATTTTGTATTGGTAATTTTGCATGTGAAAGCCTCATTGTTAATTTATTGACAAACGTGTTAAATTGTTGGTAATTATCAATGAATTGATTCAGGATGATGTTAGCAACATCTACATACGTCAAAAATTATTGAAATCATCGATTGATACTGGAATTACTGATATCGAATTTCACAAGCGAGAGACAATAGCAAGTAAAAAAACACCATGTATGAAATCAATGCAGTGTTGTATGTCTCTCATTGGTAGTAGTCCTTGTGGTATTTCATCAGGTATTATGTCAAAAAATTCATGGAGTAACTTATTCATGGTTGAAGATAGCTTGGTATTCTCTTCATTTTCCTCTAGAACAACAAGGACATAGGTTTCACAAGATTCTCTCATATTCTTCCGTACCTCAGTTTTGGACAAGAAATTATTTCCCTCTCTTCTCGAAGGTTTGAGGCTTTCTTTATTTTTGTAGGGCCTAACACAACCTTTACCCCTTCTTTCACAAATGAATATGTGTTTTTGAATCCATCATGTATTACTCTTCTGTCATATTGCCAAGGACGACCAAGCAACAAGTGACAAGCAACCATCGGTATAATATCAAAATATAACTCATTGGAGCATTTATTGCCAATAGAAAATTGGACAAGATAACTTTTGTGAACTTTTACCTCATTACCCTCGCGAAGCCAAGAAAAGCTGGTGTGGTTGAGGATTATCTTTTGTTTTGAGCTTCAATTTCTCTGCCATTGATGCTACAATGACATTCTCACAGCCTCCCCCATCAACGATAACATCACAGACCCTACCATGGGATGTACATCTCATGTGGAAGATATTATTGCGGAGCCAATTGTCATTTTCTATATGTGCTGCACTCAAGCTTTAACAAACTACTAAAGATTCTCCATGGTCAGCATAGGTCACTTCCTCTTCTACTTCCTCATCATATGTTGGCTCACCAAACTCTTCGACCTCACCTTCGTCTTTTTTCTATGAAAGCAACAATTTTACATACCAGTTACCAACAACAATTTTTTAGGTGATGTAATTCAACTTTTTTCCTAAAAATTGTATCAACCTTTCACCTACGAATTTTTCGTGAGTAAAGAGTAGTTCATATAACCATTGGAATTGGAGTTGCTAATATCAGTCAATTTCAAAGGAATTCTTATCATACATCAGAAGTTCACAACAAAGTCTTTAAAGTTACCATCTATAAATTTGTAATCCAATAAGTGGTTAAACAATTTTTGGGCCTTTCAACTCAATTAGCTAAAATTAAAAATTATAATTATTAAATAAATAATAAGAACAATATTAAAAAATAAATAGATAATTTTTTTTACCATGCCACAAACCTATATGGCTATTTACAACACTAATTTTATCAATTGTAATAGTAGATATTTACCAACGGAAAGTAGGTTGATAATGGTTTATATTTTTACCAACGAAAATTTTGTTGACAAAAAGTTTACTCTTTATCAGCGAAAAATTTCGTTGGTAAAACGTTTGCTCTTTACCTACGGCACAATCCTTTGATAACTATCAGCAACCCCCAAATTAACAACAGATTTATGGTTGCTAATATTTCGTTGGTGAAAGGTAATAACAATGGATATCATGGTTTCATTTGGCCATTGATCTTGTATCTTGATTGAATCCTATAGCTGAAAAATTGAACCTCAATTACTGTGATTTTTTGGAGTGCAAGGTTGTGTCAGTTTCGCTGACGATTTTACAAAAGGACTTGAATCCTTAAATAAAAAAATCCACATCTCTCATTATTATGGACCACAAACAGATTCGCTCAGGTAAATTAGCTTAAACCCATTTTTTGCAATAGCGGGTCATTGGGTGGGGTAACCAATAGGATTGCGGCCTTGCTTGATACTTGATTTAGGATTATTTGCCTAAATTGCTATATTATTGTATTTGTGGCTATTTGATCATTGTTCAATATTTTACATTGTTGCTGAGCACTTTGTGTTATATAATTGTC